CTTTGATATTGCAGCCAAGGATGAATTTCTAAGAAAACAAGTCATTTTTTTTCTTTTGTTCCAATATGCATTTTGAATAATACCATATTCACTTGAAAATACATTATAAGTATTCAAAATTAAGTATAATTATATACTTGATATATCTATATGTATATGTTATAAGGAAGTAGAACCTCTAGCTCATAATTTTACATTATCCACCTGTCTCACATCACAATAGTTTGTAGAACATTTAGGCTTATCTCCCCTGGGGCCAGCCTGTTTTTGTAAACAAAGTTTCACTGTAACACAGCCATGCCCATTGGTTTAGTATTATCTAAGGCTGCTGTTGCCCACAAAGGTAAGAAAGAAACCATATGGCCCACAAAGCCTAAAATAATTACCATCTGACCCTTTACAGAAAACGTTTGCCATATAGCATTTACTTGGATACAGACCTTCAGATGCTTCTGTTGTTGGTCTCGTTCAGTTTCTCTAATTTTTGATACAGTAAGAATTGGTAGAATATTTTTTTGGTTGGGGCAAGAGAATAAATGATTTAATATACGCTGTAGTAAAAAGCCAAAAGTAAAAAGTAAAATTTGTTCTATGCCCTTATTTGGAATTTTAAGGATAACACACACTTGAAATTATACATATTTTTTTCTTCCATAAGCTATTTGAAAATCAAGGATTATTTTCTTAGAGACGCAGTTAGGACTCACGACTTTTTATTAGAGTTTTAAGATACTCATTTGAGGGCAGTTTTTTCTGTAGAAACTATCAACAGTACCATAAGCAGTAGTTAGAAAAGTCCTTAACAATATAAGGCCAAATACAATCATTAGCAACAAGAGGCTAAGAAAGTAAATAACCTACTAGCATTGTTACTATCTCCTAAGAAATGGAAGTGTTGTTATATTCTATGTAAATGTTCTAAGTATGCCCTTGGGGTTTTCAATAATCAAAGTCTCATGAAATTATACTGTCTTATCCATATATATATGCAGATTTTTCTCTGGAGAACAACTAAATAATTTATAGTTCTTAATTCCTAAACAACTACCAAAGAAAAAAGATAATACTGAATGCTTAAAAGAAAAAAGAGTTATGTAAGCAAACTAGAGGCCAGAATATATTTAAACTCGCTCTCATAATTACTGATAATGATTAGTCCCATTCTCAAAATAACTAAGACATACTTTGCAGGACCCCAAAGTAAAGAATAGGATATTTAAATAGCATGCTTTACAGGTAACAAGTTAGGTAGCATGTCTCTAATACCTATTACAAACTTGACTGTATAATTAAAACAGAAATCTTAGAGTTTCTGTTTCTTTTGACAGATAAATTAGGAAATTGATGCCTTTTGTGTTTTTTCAAAGGAAGCCATGAACAAAACAGGCCATCTTAGACTATTTGTGACAAGGATTATGCAGGAATTTGAAAGTGACACATTTTTTCCAGAAATTGATTTGGAGAAATACAAACTTCTGCCAGAGTAAGTAAAATGTTACTAATTTATGTGAAGCATTTTTGGATTTCCTGCTTAAGAATTAGAAAGAGTAATAGTCTTCAGATTGAATTTGGAGTAGTTATGTTTTCTGTAGACAAATACTTTAAGAATTTTTGAAAATCTGCTTTAACAAACTTGAATGTTTAAGTTTTAATCATCTTGCTGAAATCTAGAGAGTAGTCATTAGTTCATTCTACGCAATCTGTGCTTAGCATCAGATGCTGTCTTAGGCTCTGGGGAAACAGTGCTTACCAAGACAGATGCTATCACTGCTCTCTAAGATTAGATTCTTTGTAGTAGAGGAGGAGGGTAGCAAATGATAAACATCAAGAGAGTTGCCGTATGGAGAATTGAAATATTGTGATGTGGTAAATACTGTATTGTCTGAGAAGTCTTTTCTGAAGAGTGGTATCTATGCTGAGATCTAAATGGCAAGAAGCCAGCCATGCAAAGAGCAGAAAAACCAGAAATAGTGTAGACACCAGAGGGCAGGAACAAGCATGGTGTGCTCCCTGACCCTGAAGGCCACCGTGAGCATTTTGTGTAAGCAAGGGGGAGGCCAGAAGGGCTCAGACCAGATGCAGGTTTAGAGGGTTTGAATAAAGAGAGAGTGATACTGCTCCAGCTGTTTGTGGAGAACGGACAGGAGGAGACAAGAGGGAGCTGGGAGACCAGTTGGCTGCGAGAGTTGAGGTGGAAGAGTAAGGGCTTTGGATAGCAGTCATGGAGATCGAACGAAGAGATCACAGGGGCGCCTGGGCAGCTCAGTCAGTTAAGCGTCTGCCTTCAGCTCAGGTCATGATCCCAGGGTCCTGGGATCGAGCCCTACATCAGGCTCCCTGCTCGGCGGGAAGCCTGCTTCTCCCTCTCCCACTCCCCCTGCTTGTGTTCCTGCTCTCCCTATCTCTTTCTCTTTGTCAAATAAATAAAATCTTTTAAAAAAGAAGAGGTTACACTTGTTTTACTATGGAGTTGTGATTTTAGCACAAAACTGCCTGATTTTGAAAACTCCTAGCATTTTAGTTTAAAAGCACTTTTCATAGTTCAATTTAAAAAAATAAAGTACTTTTCAGCTCTTGGCTATGGAGAGTAAAGGATTAATTGTATCCACACTTTCAGACTAGGTTTTAACACATTCTTGCAAATATTCTCAGTTAGATCCAGTCATTATTCTTTGAGTGTGAGTTTGTTTTGGGAAATACCTTCTAAAAGAACATTCAGTCACGTCTGAATAAGTGGATGGCCAAGCTTTAAAGTAATAGTCTGTAGAGTAATAGGTAATAGTCATGAATCTAATGAAGTGTGTGACTGATTTCCTTGGGCTTTTAACTAGCTCTAAAGAAAACAGAATTTTAAGAACTCTAAAAGTTTTCTAAACAGCTGAAGTACAGGCTTTTGCTTAGTCTTCAAAGATGACCCCATAGAAAAATCACACTTAGTGATTTTGTATATATTTATGAAATCAGTTGTATTTGTTTGTCACATCTTATATATTTTCTCTTATACTGCTTAGGTTGTTGATTCTCACATTATGTGAATATTGATATCTGCTGACCCTCATTCCTATCTTTGCTGCTAACAAAAAGAAAAGATTACTGTGTGAATTTACCTTTTCAGATCCTGTTGCTCTCCATCTGACCTCTTTCCAAAACTGACCCTCTGGGATCCTTGATAACTTAAAATATTTTACTACCATTCTGGCTCTCGGCTCTTAGAAATGAAAAACTTAACATCTTTACTGAGTGATGACTCACCCATCACACCATTCACCCATTGAAAGTATATAATTCAGTGGTTTTAGTATATTCACAGAGCTATGCAACCATTACTACAAAGATCCCTTTGAAGAATTTTGCTATCTAAGCAGTATTTTTCTAAACCATGAACATGTGATATCTTTCTATTTATTTAGGTCTTCTTTAATTTCTTTCAGTAGTGCTTTGTAGCTTTCACTATATACGTATTCCACTTCATTGTTAAATTTTTTCTTAGGTATTTTATTCTTTTTGATGTTACTATAAATGGAGCTGTTTTCATCATTTTATTTTCAAACTGTTCATTGGTAATACATAGATATACAATTGATTTTTGTTTATTGATCTTGTATCCTACAATTTGCTGAACTCATTTATTCTAGTGTTAGTGAATTCCTTAGGATTTTCTACATGCAGGATATATCATTTACAAATAGAGGTAGTTTTACTTCTTCCTAATCTGCATTTTTAAAATTTCTTTCTCGGGGCGCCTGGGTGGCTCAGTCATTAAGCATCTGCCTTCGGCTCAGGTCATGATGCCAGGGTCCTGGGATTGAGCCCCGTATCGGGCTCCCTGCTTGGTGGGAAGCCTGCTTCTCCCTCTCCCACTCCCCCTGCTTGTGTTCCCTCTCTCGCTGTGTCTCTCTCTGTGAAATAAATAAAATCTTTAAAAATAAAATAAAATAAAATTTCTTTCTCCTACCTAATTGCTCTGGCTAGAACCTCCAGTGCAATTATGAATGGAAGTGGTCTTCCTCCTGCTTTTACAGAGAAAGCATTTAGTCTTTTACCATTAAGTATATTAGCTGTGGGCTTTTCATACATGCCATTTATTATATTGAGGAAGATCTAGTTCTACCTCACTGGTATTTTTATCATGAGGAAGTGCTGGATTTTGTCAAATGCTTTTTCTGAGTCTATTGAGATAATCACGTGGTCTTTGTCTTTAATAGGTTATTAATACGGTGTATTACATTGATTGATTTTCATGTTAAACTATTCTTGCATTTCTGGGATAAATCCACTTGGTAGTACTGTACAATCCTTTCTATATGTTCCTGGATTCAGTTTGTTAATATTTTGTTGAGGATTTTTGCATTTACATTCATAATGGAATATTGGTTTGTAGTTTTCTTTTTCTGTAATGTCTTCACCTGGTTTTGGTGTCAGAAGAATACTGGCCTCGGGTGCCTGGGTGGCTCAGTTGGTTAAGCGACTGCCTTCGGCTCAGGTCATGATCCCAGGGTCCTGGGATTGAGTCCCACATCGGGCTCCCGGCTCAGCGGGGAGCCTGCTTCTCCCTCTGACCCTCTCCCCTCATGCTGTTTCTCTCTCTCTCTCTCTCTCTCTCTCTCTTAAATAAATAAAATCTTTAAAAAAAAAAAAAGAATACTGGCCTCACAGAATGAGTTAGGAAATGGTCTCTTTCCTCTTCTTTTTCTGGAAGAGTTTGTGAAGGATTGGTATTGGTTCTTCTTTAAATGTCTTAGAAAACTTTTTTAACATTGGGGGAGCGGAGCAGAGGAAGAGAGAGAGAGAGAATCCCAAGTGGACTCCAAGCTTATCACGGAGCCCAACATGGGGCTCCATCTCACGACCCCGAGATCATGACCTGAGCCAAAATCAAGAGTTGGATGCTTAACCAACTGCACCACCCAGGTGCCCCTAGAAAATTTTAACTGTGGGTAGATTCAGATAGGAAATTCCTATCCAAAGCCAAAATCCAAGGAAATTGCTCCAAAATGGACAAAGCTAAACAAGGCTGGCTATGAAAGAAAATGAAAAGTCTTTTTTCATTGCATCATTTGATGATATCTTACTTTCAAGCCTGTACCAACATAGTAACAGCCTCTTTAACGCGAGGTGAAAGGAATCCCCTAAGGGTAAATCTGGAGTAGGTCAGTCTTTCATGAAGTAGAGAAAAAGGAAGTCTTGAAAGACAAAGGGAATATACCTTGTCCCTGGAGGTCTGTAATGTTGCTCAATTTTTGAGCTTCTTTCTCTCTAAATCTCAGTATACTGAGGAACTTAGAATTGCTCCCTACTGTCCAGAAATGAACTCTGATCGTTCTCTACCCTCCCCTACTTCTTTCCCCACAGCTACACTTCGTTTAGAACCCCATTGTCCCAATTAGTGGGCCTCTTGTGGTTACATAGGTTTCAATTCAAACACAGTTATCTTTTATTAACACCATAGTTCCTGGTAACAAAAGCACTAGTAAAAGGAAATAAAGATGAGGGGACTGTTGTAAAGTGCGAAGAGAATGAAATTAGAAGTTAAGTGAAACCATAGGTGGTAGTAAGCCAAAAGCAGAAATTAGTCTTAACAAAGTAAGATTTGACTTTGTGTCTGCCTTTTTCCCTGTGGGTCGTTGTCTGTGCACCAGCACCATGCCAGCCTGCCCTCTGAGGCTCTGCCCTCATTCAGCTTGCCTGGAAGAGATCTTTCTGCCTCACACTGTTCCACACTAGGCTCCAACCAAACCAGCAGGTCCAGGTATTTTCTACCGGCATTTTCTGCTTAATGAGCCCCAAACAGGTTTGTCCTTCTAGTTAATAACCTTCCATGTAACCATGCAGTCAAAGAGGATAAAGCCCAGAAGAGGCCTTTGAAACAGTAGTTGGCTCCAGAGCTGGGACAGATGTCCCTTATCAATGGACAACTTGAGGAAGGTTTTTGGCGTTTCCTCTTCTGTTCCCATTACTTCCCGACTATTCAGCAGGATCCTTATTCATGTTATTTGTATGTCTCTTTCCTGAGCCTGTACTTGCTATAGAGTCTTCATTTTATTTTGGTTGTGAGTTGTTTCTTATAGGTAACTGTTTTAAGAACTCTATTTACCTCTTTCTTAGACTTTACAGTAAATCATCTGTGTAATATTCTCATGATGCTTTGTCATTTCAGATCTTATGTCTTTTCATATTCATTGGATTCTTTACTGCTTGAAGATTCTAGAGGGGACTCTCTTTCTGGGTGGTTCATAACAAATAGGAGGTATTTCCAAATCCTGTTAGGCTTCAACTCAGAGTTCATATGTGGCTCCTAAACAGTTGGGAAGTATGATGGTGCAGTAGTTATGGTCATTATTAAAACAAACTGAATATGTGAATATTGTGGAAAGCAAAATTAATGTTAAGCAGAAATCAATTTCAGTTTTACAGAGCAGATTAACATTAATACTGTGGTTAGTGACAATATAGCCAATAGCATAGTATTTCTAAGTTAATATTATTCATGATTTTAGGAATAATTTTGATACTTTGCTTTTATCTTATTAACTGAGAATCTTGATACTCGTGAGAATTTTACACACACAAAAATGTAAATGCTGCTTTTGGTGACTCATTCCAAAGAAACTAAAGTTAAGGTTAAACATTGGCCTCATAAAATCATTTCTTTAAAAAAGGAAAAATGCTATATTGCTATTAAAACACTGGAACAAAAACAGCTCAGAAAATGGTAACTAGAAACATAGCTTCTTCCTCTGAAATGTAAGTTTTTCAAGAAAAAACAGCTTTTTCATTTCCTTATACATCATTATGCTGTTACTTTATGTCTCTTAATTGTATTTTTTATCACATGGCATCACTTCTCATTAGTCAACTAAAGGTTGATACCTGTTATTACTCAGCATTGTATTGGATATCAAAAGAGATTTAATTTTTTCCCCCGTATTATCCTTGCTACATTGAGTTTAGAAAATATGGGGATGAAACAAACTAATAATATTAAAGGGTAACATTTGTAGAACACTTAATGTAATGAACTCAATGCTAAATTATTCACAAGGATGAAGATTGTGTTGATAACTAAGTATCACACAGCAGAACCAGAGTCAAACATGAGTCTGAGTAAAGCAGGTATTCCGTTCCCCCCAACCTGGAGCATATTGGGGGTGTAGCCCACACAATACTGAGGAAGTACAAGATTTGGGTTGGAGATGGGGGTGGTCAATACAGCCTTCAAATGGAGGACCTCGGATTTGTTTTTTCAGTGGGAAAAAAAATTTATTGTGGTGAGAATACAACATGAAATCTACTCTCAAAATTTTAATTATACAGTATACAGTGTTGTTAACTATAGGCACACTGTTGCACAGCACATCTCTAGAATTTAATCATCTTGGACAATAAGCTTTCTTCCCTTCGAACAACTCCATTTCCCCTTTCCCCCAACCCCTGTCAAACCACCCTTCTACTCTCTGTTCTTACGAGTTTGACCATTTTAGATACTGCAGTATTTGTCCTTCTGTGACTGGCTTATTTCACATAGCCCAGTGTCCTCCAAGTTCATCATGTTGCTGCATATGGCAGGATTTCCTTCTTTTTTGAGGCTGAATAATATTCTATTGTATGTATATACCACATTTTCTTTATCCATTCATCTGTTGATGGATATTTAGGTTACTTAGCTATTGTGAATTAGGCTACAGTGAACATGGGAGGGCATATATCTCTTTGAGATCCTGATTTGTTGTCAAAAAAACCCCCAAGCTATAACAAGTATTGGTGAGGATGTAGAGAAATTGAAACTCTTATACATGTTGATGGGAATATAAATGGTGGAGCTGCTATGGAAAACAGTATGGAGGTTCCTCAAAAAATTAAAAAGAGAATTACCATATGATCCAGCAATTCCACTTCTTGGTATATACCCAAAGGAGGTCCTGGGTTTTGAATTGGAAGGTGGAGGGAACACAGAACTAAGTGAGAGTTAGAAAATGCCAGATTAAACAGTGATGCCAGTAAAAGAATTACAATTAAGCCACACACTGGGAAACTGATAATCTAGCACCACGCAGGACATAGAACTTCAGTTCTGCTCTAGGCAGCTGAGGGTTGTATTTTGTTTTTCCTTTGCTCACATGAGAAATTTGATACCAAGTATAAGATTTGCAGAATGTTATTAAGCAGTTTCATACTAGCTGATAGGTGGTGGAAAGATAAAAGAGAAACTGATGACAGTGGTTGGTTTTGAACAGAAGAATTAGGAGTCAGAAGGAAAGGAGAAATTGCACTTTTTGTTTTCTAACTTTCTATATAGTTTGAAAGTTTTTCTTTCTGTTCCCATATGTAGTGTACTTACATAATACCCAATTTCACAGTGGCTTACCATTGTGAAGAAAAAAGGAAGGGAGAACTTTTACTTACCTTATGCATTATTGATGCCTTTTGGCTGAGAGTCAGGGAAGCTATCTTTTTAATTGACACATTATTATGGATATTTTTCTTTTACAGATACCCAGGTGTTCTATCTGATGTCCAGGAGGAGAAAGGCATTAAGTACAAATTTGAAGTATATGAGAAGAACGATTAATGTGAAGATGTTTTCTGATTTATTTCAAGTTAGTTGCTCCCCCTGCCCTCCAAACAATTCTATATTTTAATATTAGGAAAAAAAGACTTTTGTTGACTTCAGGTCAATGGATAATTATTTCTAAGCAATGAGATTTTATTAATCTTAATTAGGCCAAGTTAAGATTAATCTTAACTAGACCATATCAGATACCATTTGTGAAACATTTCTTGCTGTAACTGTGTGTTGCCCGTCAAGGACCAGCACCTGCCTAGGGTAGCATATCTATCAAGAGCCTAAGTGAGACAGTCCCCTGATAGCATAAGTTGAAACCAGGATTTACAAAGATAGAACTAGACAGATTTGTCCAAAGGTCAGAAATGGATTATAAATAGAAGAGCTAGAACTCAGATATTATAAGAAAATTAGATCAAAAGAGGAACTTTGAGTTCTCTATGCATATTACACTTCTGAAAAAAAGTTCTGTTCACTCAGACAGGGAATCTGGTAAGTTGAGAACTCTGATATATTCCATAGGGATAGTAAAGAGGCAGGTAGGACGCTACCTTTTTGAAGGTTAAAAGAGAAAGTCTGAGACCTAACAACTCTGTTTCCGATCTCCAGTGAGATTCCATGGGATGTTACAATGATAGAAGAACAATAGGCTGTTCTATACAAAAAAGAGTAATCTAATAACAAGCATATGGCTAAAATTAGAAATTAAAAACGTAATGAACTGAAAACGGATAAAGCTAGAAACCAAAATTACAAAGCTGGAAACTAAACTTCACTGAATTAAAAAATGAAACTTAAAACACATTTACCCATCATGTTAGCAAAGATGTGGATTGTTAAGTATCCAAAGAAATAGCATTTTTTGCTTGTAAATTAATGCAACCTTTTTAGAGTTTAAGTTAGGAATATCAATTAAAATTCAGAATATTCTAGGTTTGGACCCAGAGCTTCCACTCCTAGAAATTAATCCTGAATAAAGAGATGGACCCAAGAATATTTGTTGCACTACTTTTTTAACTTGGAAATAGCCCAAATGACAATCAATAAAGAAATAACTAATCAGTATGTCTACAAAATTTAATATTGTCTGTAGCAATTAAAAAGAATGGAGTATACTGACAGGAAAATACCAAAGAGTACTAAATAAAAGAAGCACATTGTGTACAATACCCAAAATTTTTAATAAGTATATGTAGTATGTGTAGGAAAATATGTGCTGTAAACAGTCGAGAGTAGAGTTGGGTGTGTTATTTTATACATTAGGTATGCCTATTGTGATTAGATTTTTTTGAAGCACTGTATGTTTGTTTTCATGCACAATGACTTAAGATAATAACTGAGCCCTTTATGTTCAAGGGTCACACAACATTCCAAAGAGCAATCACTAGGGAACCATCAGGCTTTCTCTTGTGGTCCCTGGTTTGTTCATCTTTCAAGACAAATAATCAAGTCTTACTATTTCCAGGTTGATTTCTGAAACAGAACTGTAAAGTGATGATAATTTGAGGCCAAAATATAAATAGTATAACATGCACATGTGTTCTCAATATTCAGGTTAGCCCATTTTATGTTTCTGTGAGGTTGAAATTATGTAACATAACCCACGTCCTAACAGACAGTGTTTCTCAAAATGTCATCCCCATTATACCTGTATGAGGGATGGGTCCCAGAATCTGCAGTACAGGGGTGTCTGGGTGGCTCAGCCAGTTGAGTGTCTGACTCCTGATTTCGGCACAGGTCCTGATCTCAGGGTCATGAGATCAGGCCCCAAGTCTGGCTCCACTGGGTGTGGATCCTGCTTAAAATTCTCTCTCTCCCTCTGCCCCTCCCCCTCCACTCTCTCTCCCTCTCTTTTAAAAAAAAAAGAAGAAGAAGAAGAATCTGCAGTGCAAACCAGCACCCCCAGATGATTCTGAAACCTACCCAAGGATGTAAATCACTGAGTTAGAGTGCTTTTGTCCTCTAAGGAAGAAAAAACCTGAACTGTTATTTCCTATCACTAGGGCTTCTAAGTAAAGCAAAATAGAAAAATGAGCGAATTGTAAGTCAACATGTATGGGATTGGAGAAAGTAAAATTGTGAAGATTAGACCTGTGTGTTGCTGATCTATTTTAAGAAATAAAGATTTTCACTTATTAAATATGTAATAAAAATACATATGAAAGTAATGTCAGTAGCTCAAAGAGGTACATAGCAAATGCAAGAACAAGATGCTTTTTTTTTTTAATAGTTAGTAAACTAAAAACTGTCCAGGAAATGACCAAATTTGGCACCATGACTTTGTGAGGGAAAAGTTGGCCAGCCAACTGCTGAAAAGGTTCAGAAAAATAATGATTTCTGAAAGATTGAAATTTGTGATCAAGGATGTTCCAGTTGGGACAAAAAAGTCCATAATTAAATGAGTATGAGGAATAGAATTAGAGATTCTAATGAAAAGGTATTACTCACAAAAGGGATGGAGTCTCCAACTACACAGAGAAAAGAAGCCCTACAATCTGTGTGAGGTTGTGCTATTCCTGTGGCAAAGGTGAAACTGCACTGGTGGCCATTTCTAATTATTTGCTCCTGCCATTTCTGTTCCCCAGGAGACCTCATGTGGACCAGGAAGTTTTTCTGTCCGTACACTGACATTTCTGTTAAATCTCTTTAATCTCATTGTAGATTATTTTTGCCTGTTTCTGAACTTCATATGAATGGAATCATAGAGGATGTATGCTTTGGTCTGGCTTATTTCACTCAGCACCATTTAAGAGTCATCCAAGTTGTTACGTGCGTCGCTGATTTGTTCCTTTTCATAACTGATTGGCATTCCATTGTATAGCTGCACCACCATTTGTTTCTCCATTCTCCTATTGCTGGACATGTGGACTCCT